AGTGGTTATTGTTAGTCAGAGAGGTTAACCCATTATATGGCGCACTTGTGGGCACGGGTATATCAGACGGCTTAGGGCTGTAACTTTTAGTTCACTCACAAAGTAGCGCGTGCGTGTCACGTCAGTGACGTTGCAACTACGGTAAATATTGTATGAAATATAGTAGTGGCGCGGCAGCAGCGCCACAGTGGTGCGACTGCAGCGCTAATAACAACTATGAGCGTCCAATTTGAAGACACCCTTAGACTATAATAAATATTCTTCCACTATCGCGAGTAAACATTTTTCGACGGGTTGGTTATAAGACAATGTTTTTCTTTCACTGTGTAACTTGAAAAAATTATAGTTAGGTGCCGCATAGGCTAGACTCGAATCTCGGTGATTCGTTGGCGGCTTAATTTTTGTTTAATGACCTGGTTACAAAACGTAGTAGCAGACTAATTTAGTCCCTAGGCTAAATTATATTACGAGTCGATTATATTTATATTAAGAGACGAATTCAAATTTTTGCCGTACTAATACGGCTCATTTTGCTTGGGCAGGGCAGGGACACTGGCTTTATTTCAAAATTTATTTTTATACAAACGATAATAAACCTAAAAGAAAAATGTATATCGTATACTATACGATACTATATATCAACTGAACTAAATAGAGCTGGTATAGTGTTCTATTTAGTTCACTTCATATAAAAAAAAAACATTGGTATATATACAATTTACAGTACCTATTCAATACAGCGGTTTTCTTGTAAAATTTCCAGGTAAGTTTGTGTTTTTTTCTATCGTGAAAATTTTTTGGAATCGTGTTTTTACATCGTATACTAGGCAGTGTACATTGTCAATTATATTGTATACTTTTAACAAAGGGATTGTGTATTGATTCAATACTTTCACTGATATGCGGAATCAACCAAATACGCTTTGAGGTTGTCAGACTTTTAAATTATCCCTGGGAAACAAGACAAAATTAGGCTCTGCTTTATGATGGATTGCAGGATATAAATCAAAAGACATCAACTCGGCTATATACATATATACGTCGTTTAGGCGTCATTAGTCCTCTCACGCACGTATGCAATCAATGTCATACAGATAGACGGAAACAGGTTTTACAATGACAATTTGACCTACTTGTACTTGATTATTAAAAAAGAAACTGTATTAAATCCAATTTATGTATGTAAGTAACGAATATTTATTGTACTGTGTTGAAAAGTAATAAAAAAGATACCTAGTATGCTATTCCACTTTTAAGTTTTTAATATATCTCTAAGACAAAAAGCTACAGTCGATACAGATAACGCTGAGAGAGCTGTTATATATTGTATCAGATTTATTTTAGTACTTATCTAAAATCTAAAAGCTTTTGAAAATAGTGACGTCGTGATACAGGACAATCTATCTAAGTGACTATATTTCTAACACTTTGTAGCAGTAGAGCTCCTTGTGAAAGAGTTCGGCCAGGGAAGTACTACCTATTTCTATTAATATAACCTTACCTATTTCTGCCGCCAAGCAGTAATGTGAGTATTATTGCGTTCCCATTTTGAAGAGTAAGGGTGCTGAAAAGGGTGATATTACAGGCACATGAGACTTGTCAACTTATGTCTCAAGGCGACGGGCGCAGTGGCAATGTATGGGGTTTATAGCAATGAGTGATAGTGGAACTGTTAAGGGCAGGCGTGTCGCTTACCACCAGACACGACTTGTTTATCTCGTCACTAGGTATCATAAAAAAAACACGAAATGTTATAAATTTTGTATATGTCAACAAGCCATTACAAAAATATAAAAAGCGCTGTTTCCTCTAGTTCGTGACCTTTCCTTTACTGTCCAGTCAGAAAATAGCATTGTAATATCAATAACAACAGCCATCAGCATAAATAACACGTGGTTTAATGTACAAACACGATTGTAGCACCATAGTTTAGCACTTATGTTTTTCCCTAACAACAGGTGCAGTCGAAGTTGCCTTTTGACTTCTATAAGTATCCTATTTATTTTAATAGTTCAAAGAAAATACCCATTGTATATTCTTCACGTGTTCAAGGGAATTAATACACGTTTTTTTTTTCAAATAAAAACAAAAGTGAAATATAATTATAGAACAATAACGTATAATAGTTATAGGTTTATTACTGCCCTCGGAACGAAAAATGGCACAACTGCTGTGTAAAGTACGCATAGTTCTGCGTTTTTTCGTTAAGAGGGCAGATTACATAGAATTAAAGTAATTTCTTCGTCAGAAGAAAATGTAATTAAAACAATTATTTTTCTTTAATGTTATTATTGTTTTTGTGCTTCGTTTTAATTGCATAAAACTGAAGTTATTATTGCTGTCTACTTAATTACTTACCACTGACAGAGTCCAAAGTATAAGTGCTAATATATGGCCATAAACTGAATGTGCCAGTTCCGACTCTAGGCTCCAGTTTCTTCACCAGTATTTCGCCTTGTTCAGAAAATACTTCAACGAAGTTCTCGATGATTTTTGGCCTGAATGCCGGAATCATGATCTTTCGCCGTCTCCGCCATATTGATACTGTTCAAGAATATATTTTATAAGAATATATAAATAACACAGGAATATAATTTGCATATAAATGCGTAAATTAAACTCACAATAATATAAATAATAAAAATAAATGCTCAGCTTTTAGCGAAGGACAGCGGTCAGATTTTACCTGTAGCGCTGGTTTTCGGCAAGCTCGATACGAGTAAAGAACGGACTAGAGCACAAACAATAATACACATAATATGTAGTTATTTTATATACAATACAATCAACAACGTAACATGATTATGGGTCTTATTTTTGAGAAATTGCATTTTCCGAACCGAGCTTTAATTTTATTGTTATTTATATAAATTCTTTGTATTTTTCTATTACGATATTTACGACCAGGTTATCATTTGTAGAAAGTTTACGATGATCTGTCTGTAATATTGATGTCTGAGATACAATTTAAATATAAAGGCCAAGGTCTAACAATATTCACTGTGTCTCAAATAAATATCAAATAAATAAAATAATGTTACCTGGAGCAAAAATGCCTCCATTTCCTAATATATTCCGTAAAAACCGGTGAAGATTGTCCTTGTCTAGGCAATTCTTCAATATCATCTCTAAGTCTACTGGATTTGTTACCACTGAAAAAATATGTAACACGTAATTATTATTAAAAAAGAGGAACCGACTTGGAACTTCGTTTATATAATGTATATGCAAACTGAAACTATAAAGTTAACAATCGGTCACCGAAAATAGCGCGAAATCGAATTGATCCACTAGTTTGCCACCATTGGGGGTGGAATATTTTTTTCAAATTTAATGTGACCAATTACTGAGGTACCCTCTTTCCAAAAAAAAAAGAATCGTCAACAACAGTTCACAAATGCCGGAGTAATCCCGTAACGTACACACAAAAAATACATTAGAATTGAGAACCTCTCCTTTTTTAACCGACTTCAAAAAAAGGAGGAGGTTCTGAATTCGACTGTATGGTTTTTTTTGAAGTCGATTTAAAAGCACATCCATTGTTCAGATATTTATGATTATTAGGGACGTTATTTCGACGCTGACTATACCTACTTGTATTAAGGCAAAAATCGAATAAATGCACAGAACCTACTCAAGCAGCTTTAAAACAATACATTGAAAATTTATTTTATAAGAATACTGTAGAAGAATTTGGAAAACAATACTATTCAGAAACTCTTTCAGAGGCGATGATTGTGATGTCTTTATGACAGGGATTTGACTAGTGGCGCCAACTGTTAATTAAAGTATAGTACGTATTTTTAACATGCATAAAATACAGCTTCAACTTACCAATATACAGTAAATGACCTAGCCACCCTCGAAGAATTCCATTAAATTTAAATGAGGCGTAGCTAAAATTTTGAAGTGTCTCCATTATATCTGAAAATATAGATCACTATCATTCTTTTTCAATAACGACAGAGAAAAATATTTAGTCTTTCGCTTCCATACAGACCATCCAAATATTGTAAAAATACCATGTTCCGTTGGGATAGCGTTGCCAGGGGCCGAATAAAGCCGGTCATAGACTTTTTGGATGTATGTCCGGCCAAACTAGACGCGACGCCGACGGCTTGTCCGGCTTTTTTAGATTTGACCAAGTTTTGTTTCGTTTTTTCGCATTTTGATTTCGTGGAATAGCCATTATAATGATAGACGATTAATTAATCGTTAAAACTATTGTGCGCGCGGTCGTTTTATGATTTATGGCCTATCTACATCGAATTAAACATTTCATTACTATGTATTCCATTTCATTTCATTACAATATGAACATCAACAATCTGTTTTACACATCTGTGTTTTTTTTTAATGGGAGAGTATGAGGAAATTCGAATCCATAGAAGAATGTTAATATACAGGCGCGCGAGCGTGGTGCGAACGGCACGCGAACAGTTCGCACTACGCAATGCACGTGCGCAGTTCGCGATCCTTTGGCAAACAGGCAAATTTGCGGCGCATTCGCCAGATCTGTATTCGCCCTAAGGAACCATTATGTATATCCTTGTGAAAAGAATTTTAACATAGTCAATTTTTGGTCAAGCGTGTGTTGTCCATAAAAATGAATGAAATTGATCAACATTTTTTTTGTGCTGATCGTCTCAATTTCATGAATTGATCATTTCTGTGTATGGACGAATAAAATCGGGACAGCAGAAGTTGGTTAAATTTAATCAAACGTTTTTCATATAAAATGAATAAAATTGACTATTTTTTTTCAATGCTGATGCCAGGCTAGGCCATTAAGGAAATAGAATAGAATAGAAAATCAAAATTTCGAAACTGACACTGGCCCAAGCCTAGCGGCCATCATTAAGGAAATAGAATTGAACTCAAAATTGCATTTTTTTAATTCGTGCGAAAACAGTACATGGAATATATTAATTATAAAGTGTTTCAATAAAATTTATGTATTTTTTAAAACTCAATAAGTTAATAATTGTTTGTTTATTGTTTCGTTGATTGCATTCAAAGTTACATATAATCGTCTGCTTTAACTATCAAATTTGGCCTCTTATTTGGTGACGACTTTAGTCTAATTTGGTTCTCACTGTGAAGTGTGAAGCTCAATTTGTGAAGATGCGGTATTGATATTAGTAATTTAGAACATTTTAGTCCACAAACCGTATAAAGCGTAGATGTTAACAGCATAAGTATAGTTGCGAGCTATTATTATGATAATCCTTTAAAATGGAATTTTTTTTTTCTCTTCAGAACAATCGACAACCACACCAATTACCTGGTCTCAAACTAAGTAATTCCCTGCTCTATGAGTACCAGAGCAACGGAATTCTCTCCGGGGCTCTGTTCGGAACAACTAGATCAGAAGCAATGTTCATTTTCCAGTTGATTCTACCGGGAATCGAAACCGGGACCTCCTCGTCTAGTGTCAATAGTGCAAACCATTGAGCCACCGATGTCCTCGAATGGAATGGTATGGCAAGCTCAAATGTACTAGGTTTGTCACTTATTTATTTATTATTTATTTTATTATACAAACAGATTACAAATTAGGTTAAAAACTAAAGCGATGTAACATAAATCCTTTTGGGTTTTACCGTACATCGTCTTATCGTTTCAATAAACTCTTCAATAAAATAGAAAATTATTTTTCTACTATATTTTTTTATCATAATAGCGACTGCAGGGTACTTTTAAAATTTAAACGTGCGATTGAGTAAAGAACTCATCCTTACAGTGACATGTGGCTACTGGATTCAACAAAAGAACGAATTCCAGGGGATGTGTGAAACAAACTTCTCTGAACAGTAATTAAAAATGTAAAAACATGAATCTTAGTCTTAATTTTTTTATCAAAACAAATGGGACAATTTAGAAGCACCTCCAACATATCAAGTCAGTAGGTATCTAGATGTACATAGGTATATATATATATATATATATATATGAGCAAAATCTAAACCGAAACATATGAATGTAACGCATTTATTATTATTTCCTTTATGGCTGCCACTAGGCTTGTGCCAGTGCCAGTGTTATGAGATGAATATAATATATAAAAATTATGGCGATAATCGTTAGTGTCAGTTTTCTTGTATCTCTTTTATTTTGGTCTATAACGTGATATAACGCTTTGTCGAGAAACTTCTTTGAATCAGACATAAGCATCTGAGTGCCGTGAACGAAATTTAAACTCTACGAAAGAGATCGGACTCGGTAACCGAAAAGAAGTATTACTCTAATGAAAGAGAAACCGAAACGTTTCAACTCCTGCCCGATATCTATAAGAAGAGCTTGACAAATGCTTAAAATTATCCTTATTTCCGTATGTACGATAACAATCAACAACTGAAGAAAAAAGACTTACCCACAGGACTTCCAGTTAAAGTATGTGCGATACCAACAATAGGCAGTTCTTCGATCGGAGCCGGAACCAGAGAGGCCAATTTGTACATATTCCGCCTACGGATTTTGTAGGCCACAAACCACAACACTAACGCGAACGATAACAACAGCCATACCATTATGCTTACACTAATCCAACACGTTACAATCAAATGAAAATCTTCTGAAAAATGTTAGAGAAATATCAGTCTAAGGTTTTGAAAATTCGTACTGATCAAGCACGTTGCAGTCTGAAATCGCTCGCAATTTACTAACAGCTGGAAATATGGAGGTTACTAAATTGTCCAATTTTTTATCACGTGACACGGCATACACGCATGTTTACATTCATATGTCCGCGGCAATAAAAGCAGCTCCTATTTATATGAACATTTTCCTACCACAGTGTCCTCGCAGCTATTTAAGACGACAGGTTACAAGTTCACGGTGATTACCTTCGGAATACAAGGAAGCGACAATTGCTCGAACAACAACCAGGAGCTGTAAATACATGCGATGTACATATATATAGTAACAATGCCTATGTGAACCGTCTTCGATTCTTGCGAACGATTGTAGAAAATTACATTTATTTTGCTGAAGCGTTTTATGTGTACATTGGGTTAGTATTTCTGGCATCGTGAACAACGGATTGCGCGATAAGAGCAATTTGAATATTTTTCGCTCATTTTTGATGATCATTTCACCTTTGTTATTGGAATAAACAGTGTCAGGATCGCAGTTACTGAAAGGCTATGTTTGCCTTCCCTGGTTTGCCTTTGGTGGGAAAAAGACGTGAAATATATGTTTCTAGAAACATGATGTCTTACTTTAGACTGCACAAATCAGAGTAAAAAAATTAAAATTGCGTACGAGTAACTATAAATGTGTGGAAAGTGAATTTGCGTATATAAGAGTACGGGTTCCAAATTTTTTTTATTACTATAAAATGTAAATAAGCATTTAATATCTATCTCACCTGATAGACAGTGGCGAAATGCAAGTGCGAAGTGGACGAGTGAAGTCCACCATGCACACCTAAATAATACTTATCTATTCACTCCCACCCAAACAGGCCCAAACTGTAGCGTTCCAGGGAATAAGCCTGCATCCAGATTGATTTAAGTTTACTCAAAGTGTACTTAATGTACCTAGGCGAATTAAATAAATATGATCGCCATATAAATGTGGAAGCGTAACGCTTCGTGTGAATACTTGGAATATTCACATTATAGGCGGATGCAATCACAGAAATCTAAATAAGTGCCAGTTTATTTAGATTTCTGTGGGTGCAACCCAAGCCTTCACCTAGTTCCCGACGATAGAAATGGGGATTAAATCGTGGAATTCCAGTTGAAGAAGAGGCAAGTTATTGCATTTTAACCTCCTTTATTAATTTGTGCTCTTAAAACATGATTTTATTTTTACTACTGCTCGATTTAACTACTCTACTCTGGAACTTGTAAAATAATCTTTCCTACGTAAATTCAGTTTTTATTTCATATAACAACTACATATATTGTTGTTGACCAAACCAAATCAGGCATTAGTCGTTGCCTCGTACATTGGTACCTACAAATCATATAAGATTATTTATCGTATTTTCCTATTAAGCAATATTCTCGTAATGAAACAATTACGTAAGCAATTTAAAAATATTTATACAAACCATTAACCAAGCACGAGGCTTTTAAGAGGCGGCACTTGATATGACTTAATTGTTGTTCCTGCTACTCAATTATATAGGAACCTTAGGTAATATTTAACATAACTATGTCCTTATCACTCTACTCGTTAGCCACGAGTCAACTTAAAGTACGTACTATTTATGTAAAACAAAATAAAATAAGATCAAAAGTATCAAATCGTATTTTAGAATACAATCGCGGTAAACATCGTCCGCGTGCACAATCTGGTCACGAAATCTTCTTAAACAAATACCTGTATAGACAAATTATACTTCTGATTAATTGAAAATCGGAGACTACAGTGGCAAAATATCTCTAAAAGGATTATGTTAAGACATATCTATAGATGAAATATTCTACACATATTCACTATAGTGTACTTTATCTAAGTGTTAGAACTTGTTTTGGAGTAAAATTACTCTTAAAACATTATTTTCAAAAAAGTTGTAATAGATCGCAACGACTTTGAAAACCTACATGAAACCATTATTTCTAGTTAAAGACAATCATAAAATTCACTCATTCATTCGGAGTATGAAGCTATTTTAGTAGCAGTAGAGCTCCTTGTGAAGGAGTTCCTCCAGGGAAGTACTGCTTACCTTGTCTATTTCTGCCGCCAAGCAGTAATGTGAGCATTACAGTGTTCCGGGTTTGAAGGATTAAGGTGCTGGTGAATGGCAGGCAAATGGAACCTGTCAATTTATGTCTCAAGCTGACTGCCCAGTGGCAGTGCCTCTCAGATCTTTATGATTTAAAGCTCTGAGTGGTACTGCAACAGTTATGGACAGGCGTGTCACTTACCACCAGGCCCACGACTTGTTCGTCTCGTCTCTTGTAATCATAAACAAAAAGATCTACTGAGTGTGCTACTTGGAATGCCAACACACCATATTCATTTGCTAATTTCAACAATAATGTAGAATACCGATTACTTCACTGACCAATTTGCAAAATAAATGTTTGGCTCTCAGAAACAACATACAATTTTTTTCTACATGCTGAACATTTCTTAGTAAAAGGTTGTTTTACTCTATGCTTGTACATACATGTTAATTTAAAAATCTATAATTTAAAAACTATCCAAAGTCTAACACTATCACTTAAGTTAGGTCAATAAGATTCCAACTACATACTTCTCTACAGATCAAGTCTCTAGGGATCAAGATTCAAATTTTTAGGAAATGAAACTATTTTTCCGGATTTAAATCGCGTATATTTGTTTTTTCAAACATACCGTTTCGAGCCTCTTACAGGTCCCATGGTCACGGTTGACTGAGGTGGTACAGTCTTCAACCAGTTATGTCTAATATTGATGCAAACCACCCTATTTTTTTCACTATAGTCACAATACTTATTAATTAAATACCTTATTTTTAATTTTACAAAGAAAACATTCCAATTTACGCTACATTAAATTTTACAAATTATTTTATTGAATGAATTTTTATTAAGTTCAATTTATTATTAATTAATAATAGAAATTAGAATAAACTAAAACATATTAATTAGTACTGCAGTCTTATGTCTGTTTGGGATTTTTCATTAGAGGAAATACTGGATCCCAAACTGGTGGTACTGAGAAACCATCTTCCCTGTTGAAATTAGGATGGTTTTTATTTTCAATGGCCTCTCGCAGCATCCTGGGTAGATAACGGACTTCTTTTGCAAGGAGCTGGGGTTTGTCAAACTTCATTGAATGTGTAGGTTTATCCATGACATGCTCGCAGACTGCAGACTTGTTTACGCGACGGTGTTTGACATCAGCTATATTTTCTTTGACGCGGGTACAAATACTTCGCTTTGTTTGTCCAATATAAGAGAGACCGCACTCACAGTCAAGCTTGTAAACTCCTGCATCCTGTAAGGGGTTGTTACATTTCACGGGTCTCAGGAACTGAGAAATCTTCCTCAGGGGCTTGAAATAGGTTTTTATAGATGCACGCCTGAGGACTCTTCGGATCTTGTCTGTAACACCTCTCATGTAAGGTAAGATGGCATGTCTTCGCTCGACTGTTGGTGGTTTCACACGGGGCCTGCGGATTGGCGTGGAATCTTCAACTTATTCGCATGTAGGACTTGCTTTATATGCTGAAGTTTCCCTGCCAGATGATCGCTGTCGTAGACACCATGTGCTCTCTGAAACAAAGATTTGCCCACGGTAGCTAACTGGCTAGGATGGTGATGGGAATTACCATTGACATACCTATCTGTATGGGTTTTCTTTCGAAATACAGTATGGCCTAAGGTGTTATTAGGATTTCTTTTAATTAAAACATCTAAGAAAGCTAAAGTACCACAATTCTCTTGTTCCATAGTAAATTGCATCTTAGTACTAAAAGAATTAAGATGGTCCAAGAAAGAAGGTATGCTATCTTTAGGTAATATTGTGAAAGTATCATCAACGTACCGTTTGAAAATCTTCAGCCTAGCTCTCTCGCTCCTCGAAGTCTTCTATGAAAATATCGGCAACAACGGGAGATACCGGGAAGCCCATCGCTATACCGTCAATTTGTAGGTAGAATTCATTATTCCACAATAGATAGCCTGATGTTAGGCAGTGTTCTAATAATTCTGCATATTCGATGGACATATTATGTTCCCTTAGCTTTCTACGTACAATTTCAATGCAGTCTTTTACTGGTAGGTTCGTAAACAGCGACTGAACATCAAAACTGACCATGGTGTCATCATCAGTTAACCGTAGATCTTTGATTCCACTGATGAAATGGTATGAATCCTTCACATGTGTAGAAGTGTTCCCTCTCAATGGTGACAGTACCTTGTCCATGTGTTGAGCCAGTTTGTAGGTTGGTGTGTCAATCTGGCTAACTATGGGACGGAGTGGGGTGTCAGCCTTATCTATTTTTGGTAACCCATACAGTTTTGGAGGTTTTACGCAGCAGGGTACAAACTCACTTACATCAAGTTTCAGCGTATCGGAGTGCTTAGATATTAAAGTTAGTTGTTGTTTTTAATATCTTGGTGGTAGGGTCTTTCTTCACCTTTTTATACGTGTTTTCATCCGATAGTAAGTCAGTTATTTTGCTGTTATATTCTGACGTATTCATGACCACAGTCGCGTTACCTTTATCTGCACGGAGGACGACTAATTCAGGATCTTCGTGGAAGGTCTACAGCGCGTTATATTCATCTCGAGTAAGATTCGGTTTGGGCTGTTTATTTGAACGCATATTGACGAAACGTCTTGGCGTATTGCCTCCAAATCTTCCTTTCTCATGTTGTTTTTAACTAGACAATCCTCAACGTTACAAATAATTTCTTCGTATGGACGACACGACGAGGAGCCACTGCGTAATTCAAACCCTTTTGCAAAACTGAAAAAGCAGACTGATCTAATGCTTTGTTCGATAAATTTATTACGGATTGAGTTTGTGCTTAATGATCAAACACAAACTCTTTTTTTTTCTTAGTGAATGGTTTGTGAGACTACATAGCCTCAATTCTGCCAGTGTCCGTTTTCTAGCTTCATAAACGTTATGGGCGGTGTGTTAGAATTTTGTTCGGTGACTCAGAGGGAGAATCGAAGAGACTTTTGCAC